GGGTACACAGGGTACACAGGGTACACAGGGTACACAGGGAGAATGGGTAACAGGGAGTCTATATGGAGACTGGGTAACAGGGAGTCTATATGGAGACTGCCATGAATTACTTGCCGATTTTTGCTAACTAAAGAAGAACTTTGCATCGTGTTTGACTGCTTTATGTTACGGCATTTGCTTGGGATCCGTCCAGATTTTATCATTAGTTCTACACTTAGTCGATTTAAGCACAGCATGCGTCTTGTCCAATTCGTTGAAGGTGGAAGACAGAGGGTTGGTGTTGAGACCAAAGATGGCGGCGATGTGGTTGACTTGTGTGCAGGGGAATCCTCTATCCCAAGTGATATGAAATCTTTCCTAGCAGGAGGAATAGAGATGGTGAAGAAAGCGCAAAGGTTAAAGCTCGTGTGGTTCATTATTTAGGATAAATTCAGAAGTAATCACGTATTTTTGGAGGAAGGAAAAGCTGTCGACGTGGAGTACGCATATTCATTTTTAATCAGAACCCAGCCGTCCCCTCTTTGGAGGTGGGGCGGAGGTGGGGTGGGGTTTGGTCTCTCATATTGGGTTGGGTTACTCAACCCTGACCCTTTCCAATAAAAGGCCTAATAGCAAAACATGGTAGCTGTTTGTTATTGTCCTCTTGCATGATGGCAGAGAAGGCCTCCTCAGAAGAGCACCACCCATCTCTGTATACTGGTGGTAAAGTACCTGCCAGGGTGGGTTGATATGATGTGTTTATGTGTTCATAATTCTGATTTCTGAATGAAGGGGTGTAATTTAGCCCTTGCCCAATCTTGGTAAATAGAGAAGATGGTCATTTGTTCCATTCCCAAGGAGACTTCTCTTAACATGCTTGGTTTCAAATTGGAGTTGTCTTTGCAGTAGAACTTTACGACCATTTTCCTTTTTTTCATAGTTCTGAAGGAAGAGGGAAGGTGGTGAACACATCAAATGGATTGACCGTGTCATTCTGTTGTGCTTTTAGGCTAAGAGATTAACCCTCTCGCCATCTCTTTTCACCCAGGTGTACATAATGTTGTAAAACCAGGGGATACCTGCTGCAGACTAGAAGACTATTGTAGAGGAGTAGTAATAGCACTTGGTAGTTTAGACTTGAATTCATGGAGTTAATTCTGTTATTTTGTACTCATTTAGGGTAGTGGATGGAGGTCAACATGTACTGAAGAGGGAAGATGTTCAACTCAAGGCTCCAATTCACAATCCTAACAAACTCATCTGTGTGGGAATGAACTATGTTGACCACTGTTTAGAGCAAAATGTTCCTTTGCCCACAGAACCTGTAATTTTTAGCAAGTTTAATAATGCAATAACAGATCCAGGAGCACCAATCATTTATCCTGAGGAAACACAGGTCTGTTCTGGCTTTTTATTTTTCAGGAAGTCTGGAATCTTTAGTTAATGAACTTGTAGCCAGACTTTTAAAAATAATCATAAAATCAAGTTTATTGTGTCTACTACGATCTGTGATAAAATTAAATGTAGTTGCCATGATGACATGACATAACATGGCAATGCAATAGTCAACTAATTTTATTACAGACTGTAACATTGGTGTGGCCAGTTTTAAGGGCAATGTTGAAAAATGTAGCTTGAAATTAACCTCTTCTGGTAACAATACCCTCCAGTGATGATCCCATGAACAAAAACAGCAAATAAAATGTAATTTGATTGAGGGAGAAAGCATGAAGGCAGCTTAAAACATCATAACAAGCCAGATTTTTGCACATTACATTTTAAACTTTCCTTTTTTGAAGAAGACCAAGCTTAGCTTCATCTAAAAGTTGGTTATTTTCACCCATTGATGAGGTTTTTGATTCACAGGAACTAGACTTTGAAGTGGAGCTTGCTTTTGTCATTGGAAAAACAGGAAAGAAGATTAAGGTATTCTTGTTATCCATTGAATGAACAGCACCAGGCTCTTCTTCTTCCAAAGATTTTAAATCAAGGGCAAAGTACACACCCCCCCTCCCCCTGGGCAACTCCAGGCAACCCACAGGCATTTGACCATCATCTGTGCCCCAGGGGTGGGGAATTTGAACCTTGCCTGGGAGTTTACCAGGGAAGGGGAGATTGAAGCTTCAAATTGATCAATGCATAATTCCTCCATGTCCCCTGCGATCACCTTTTATTGATTGATGTATTACTGTAGTTTGTAATTTAAAGAGGACTCAACCATATTTTTACTGAGCATTAACTTATATGTAACTGTATGAATTGCACTGACAGGAAAATGAAGCTATGGAGTATGTTGCAGGCTACACTGTAGTACATGATGTTAGTGCACGAGACTGGCAGCTAAAGAAAAATAGTGGACAGTGGCTAATAGGCAAAACATTTGACTCATTTTGTCCAATTGGTCCAGCTATAGTCACTAGGGAATCTCTATCAGGTCATGTGTTGATTGTCATCAGAAAATATTTAGTGTATACCATGTTTTTATTCAGTTGAGTGTAGCAAGGTCTATTAACCCTCTCCACTGTAACATGAGTGTGCATATTCTCCATACTGTTCTCCATACATTTCTTAAGGTTCTGACAAGGAGAATTTGTTTGACAATCAAAAGCTTCTCTAGTTTGTGATTTTTCCCTTATTCTTGTGGCCTTTATCTTTGATTCAGGGGTGTTTTGTAAGGATAAATGTCCCTGCTAGTCACTTAGGGGTTTAGGGGTTGAATTTTGCGGGAAGGAAAGATGGAAGAAGTCATTGGGGGAATATTATTCCAAAATGAGGAAAAGTAATATTTTTTTAAAAAGAGGAGGAAAAATCCAAAGTTGTCACAAACAGCAAAGATTAGTGAAGGCTAATGAGCCATCAGTAAAAAATTATTTAAATTTTGTGAGTTTCTTCTTGAGAGATTTCACTTGACATGAAATCCAGCCTGTCTCAACATGGTTGTGCCTGACTTTTTCTTCAGATCCCCACAAGCTGGGAATCCGTTGTCGTGTTAATGGAAATGTCATGCAAGATTCAAATACTGAAAATTTGGTGTTTAAGACAGAAGCATTGGTTTCTTTTATATCTAGGTAGGGAGTGCTAATTAAGTTAAAGAATACTGTGAGTTGTTTTGTATATTGCGTTCCTGCCTTCATGCAATGTCCAGGGTAAGAGCTTTGTGTTCTTGTTACATAAGCTGTGGGCCTCTCATTTTGTCTCCTCGAAGAAAATGACATATTTAAATAAATAAATAAATAAATAAATGATTTTAACAATGGACATCCACTGGGTGGCTATTCTTGTCCACTGTTCCAGATCGAATTGGAATTTGGAAATGTTGGTTTTTGCGGAGGGAGGAAAACCGGAGGACCCAGAGAAAAACCCACGGAGCAAGGACGAGAACCAACAACAAACTCAACCCACATGAGACGCCAGGTCCGGGAATCGAACCCGGGCCACAGTGGTGGGAGGCGAGTGCTCTCACCACTGCGCCATCCCTGCTCCCCTATATTTTAGCTGTGTAAATAATTTTTCTACCCAATGATCTTTTAGTGGCTCAGTGGTGTAGCATTTGGTAACCAATCACAAGACTGAGTCTCAAATCCTCTGGCCTTCTAGACAATGTTTATTTGTTCTATCCTCCGTACAAATAGATTTTGTTTGATTTTCCCTTATTGTGTGAGAAAAAAAAAGTTTTAATGTGAGCCACTGGGGAATGTATCTTAACAGTTTGTGGAATTATAGACTGAGTGATAAGATTATATGGCCATGAGTTTGCTGATGATTTGTTTTATGACTTGATGTCTAGATTTATTACCCTGTCTCCTGGCGATGTTGTTATAACAGGTACTCCACCAGGTGTTGGCTGTTTCAGAAAACCACCAGTATACCTGAAGGTTTGTAAGATGACGAATTATAACATAACCAAAATAAAGCGCGCGCTCTGATTGGTCAATTTAGCGTCCCCCATTTGCTCATGGGTGTACGCTGCTAACGTGAGCAAAGACTATTTTTCCGCGCGCGCTTGTTTTTTCTGGTCACGCTAAGATTTGTTAAATAAAAGGGAACTCTTTAGCTACAATGTATCAATGTTATGTTATAAAACAAATGATAAACACCACAAATGTGGTGTTTACCATTTGTTAAAAACACCTCACCAGCAGTGTTGGCACAAGTTTTCTGAACCAATCTCCAATCACAGAGCGAAGTAAAGCAAAAACTAAGCAATCCAGATTTACTTTCAACACTCAATTAAAGGCCAATCTAATTAAGCTAGAACTAAAATAATTTCAAGAGCCAAACAGATGGAAACTATCCCTAGGAGCTGATAAGAACTCAGATTAATGAAAAGTGGACTGATTGAAGCGCAGACAACTCAAGGCGCAATTAGTCTTAGCCTTGAAGCTGATTGGTCGAGAGAGTTGTGCAATTCTTATGGGCCAATCAGAAAGCATAGTGAGGCAAAACAAATGTAATCCAACACTCAATTGAAAATTGCGCCAACAAGTAAGGTACCAAGCAACAAACTTTAAAATCCCTTTCTTTCTCCACAGAAAGGTGATGTGGTTGAATGTGAAATTGATGAAATCGGATGTATCTCAAATACAGTTCAGTGAAGTGGCCTTAGTTAAAGAAACAGCTAGTCACACCTAGAAGCCTATAGTTCATTATCAGGTCATTTCAAGCCATTCTGATCCAGGGAATGTTCAAGGAATACAGCAAATTGATACAACTTGGACACCATTTACTTTTTCAAAGTAGAAAATACGTATAATCATAATTTAGAAATAATTATAGTTCGATAACAACAAAATAAAACAAGCAGCATATGATGCTTAGCTTTTATCTGGGTCTTAGTTATGCGAATTTTGAAATCTCGATTACCCAAACCATGTAGTTACCAAATCATTATGGGAAATGAACGTTTTAGGAAATAAAAGCGAAACTTTCAGTCGATTCACTCTCGAATTATTTATAAACTTGCTTGTTAATTTTTGCGACCATAATTTTTATCTTTTTCACCCCGAAAATTCACGACACAAGAAATTTGGATGATTAGGGAAGAGTAGATGTTTTAAAGAATCGGCGCAAGTTATTGTTAATTGACCCTGGAAAGTACGCTCGAAGCGGTGAGGCGTGATGAAATGGAATTCCACGAAAGTTGTGTTGATCTTCATCATTTTGAAGTTAAGCATCTCTTTGAGTTGATTTCTCAAAATAAGGTGGAAGGTTAATTTAAGTTTGGGAAAGTTATCACTAAAACTAAATTGAATTTGAAATGAAATATGAATCAAAATGCTGGGTCAACTACAATCCAAACGGGGAAGCGTTGAGGTATAAACATCAGTTTGTTCCTATTCAGGCGTATAATGAGTGGCAATTTTCTTAAGCGGATTTTACTCCTACATCTCTTAGTTAAGAGTGAAATAGAAAACTTCCTCATTTGCACTGAGATTTTTCTTTTTTTTTTTTTAATAAACGCAGAGAGGATATATCATTCAAGGTATGTTTCCCTAAACAACTTTTCTCTCTGAGGGAATAATTACCCCTGTACGCCTTAACATCAGTATGCGTATAGAAACTCTAGAAACCCTGGACAGTTCGGCTGACACTAGCACTCTTATTTCTGAAATAAAAAGGCATCTTAATTACAATTCAATCATAAATTATAATATTTTTCTTCACTTTTTATCACTTTTTTTTTCGTCTTTTGACGAATAATGTATTCAAAATCGACTTTTTTAACGCCTTCAATTAGTAATTAGTGTTTGTTGCTAACATCGCCCGCCTAGATTAGCTCGCTATTTGCAGGCGGTGTTTATTGTAAGTAATTGTTTTGGAAGACCTAAAAAAAGATATCATTTTTTAGCGTATTCTCCATACCGTTCTCTACATTTCCTAAGATGCTGACAAGGAGAATTTGATTAACAATCAAGAGCGTCCTTCATTGTTGAAGATTTCTTTTATTTTCCTGACCTTAATGTTTGATCCAGGGAGAATACTTTGAGAGAAATTAGATGTCAGTCAATCTTAAGGGTGTAAGGGTAAAATGCCTTTCCTCTTTAAGAGAATATCAGTAACCACAGTTGCAGAACATCACAGTGAAGCTGAATACGAGAGCTGGACAACCAGTAACAGAACCATGTGTCTAATGCATTGGCAAGGAGAAACCTGACGTAATAAAAATGACGAGAAATCCAGGTAGGAACCACGCCCGAACCACTGCTGTGCATCCTCAGGACCAGGCTAGACTTAGTTTCAAAGCAACGACTGACTAATAAATTCTAATAAGTGCTGTCAGTCAACAATGATCACTAAGGTGCAATCCCAAGCTGAAGTAGTCACAAGGTACAATAAAAAGTTATCTACATCTCCAAAGGGACTAGGCCCAAGGCCACTCTGGTGCTCCACTTCTTAGACACTCATCCACTTCACTTTTCTCTTCAACAGGGAATAACCATGCGTTCTCCTCACTTTCCGTTTTAATCACTTCTTTTGATCAGCAACAATTTGCAAATCAAAACTTTTTTCATTGTACAATACGATTAAAGTAGAAGGCCTGAAAAGTGCTCGTTTGACAGATTGGTGTTTTAAGATTAAAGGAGTTGCTTAGTCTAGTTACGGCCGTGAGAAATAAAGTTTGTGAAACTATGTACATCAAGGTCGGTATGGTTATGTAAGCGCTTATTGCCAAGTCTTTCATTTCTCTGTCGAAGGTAAGAGGGAGTAAGTCCAGGGTACTAACTCTTTTTCTATAGGACATCTCGCCAATCCGGGTTTGTAAAATCCATCTGGTAGTGCGCCGCTGCACTCGCTCGACTTGTGCCTTCAGGGAAACCTGAGCAGGCGACCAGACTAGAGTAGCGTAGCAGAGCTGTGACTTGACTAGCGATAAGTATAGCGCGCGCCGGGTAGATACGTCAGTTAGTAAGGGACATGTCCGCTTTAGAAGCCTAAGGAGCTTTTTGGCTTTAGCGGTGATGGTTTGTATGTGGGAGTGCCAAGACAGCGTACTCGTAATTGTAACTCTTAGATCTTTATCAGCGGACACGCGCTCAAGTTGTACGTTACCTAGGATGTACTCGTGATCAAGGGAGTTTTCTTCCGCGTCACAGTAAGCGTTTTCGATTTCGAGGTGTTGAAGTTGATGTTATTTCTCTTTGACCAGTCATTCAAGTTCGCTAGAGTGGTCTGCAGAAACAAGCAATCGCTGACGGAACTGACGTTCTTATACAGTCTGGTCTCATCGGCGTATAACGCTGCCCTCACCCAGCGTGCCGTTTCACCAGGGAGATTGTTAATAAATATCGTAAACAATAACGGCCCTAGCAGGCTCCCTTGCGGGACGCCGGAAGTAACCGGAGCCCACTGCGATGCAACGCCGTCCAAAACTACCCTTTGAGCTCGACCCGTTAAATAATTAGTGAACCACGCAAGTGATTGTCCCGAGACCTCATACACCCTTAGCTTTGGCTTCGCAAAATCAGTGTAAATTAGCATCAGTCTGAATGTTCTCATCGAAAGCTTGACATAGGGCGTGTAGCACAGACAATAACTGGGTGACACGCGAACGATTTCTTAGAAACCCGTGCTGTAAAAGGGTAATTGAGTGTTTTACGTTATCATAAAATCGGGAGCTCACAAAATGTTCTAAAACTTTGCTGATAATAGTAAGACGTGATATAGGTTGATAGTCTTCGGCGGGCTCTTTTGAGTCTTTCTTGTGGATGGGTGTAATATCCGGGGTTTTTCACTCGTTGGGGAATTTACCCCTACTCGGCGAAAGGTTGGAAATCGCAATGAGACTGGGAGCTATTTGTTCAGAGCATTCTTTCGAAAGACGCGCCGGAATGCCGTCTGGCCCACACGCCTTTGAAGTATCTAAATTACTCATGACAAGCACCCCTGACCTCATCAACCGACAGTTCTTTGTGCAAAATTTGCATATCGGTCAGTGAATCATAAGTAGGTATGTTGTTTACAACAGGGGTAACCAAGCGGAAAATTGAGCAAAAATAGCTGTTAAGCAGCTCCGCTTTCTCTGCTCGTTTCTCGGCAGCAACAAGCATTGAACTTAGTAAATCGCTCACGGAAGAACCCGTTGTATTCGGTTTCTCTTGACCATTTGCGCATCAAAAATTCTTTGGTTTGAGTTAGAATGTCTTGGAGTAGGATTTTGGAATGGAACTGAACTTGGAGCCATCGGCCGGGAAACGTTTCTTGACTGCAATTGCGAATTAGTATCTTAGTTACCCACAAACTACGTTCCACCGCGACGAAGTTAATATATTTACTTTTTTGAGGGGGTGTGGAAAGTCCTAAACTGCAAACCTTAAAACAAAATTCGTATCACTTGTTCAACCCCATGAATTTTAAACATCATTTTTGATCATTTCCTCTACGAGTTATGTAACTTGAGTAAATGGCTATAAGTACCCTAATAATTATAAGACCTTTTTACCGTGGTACTCTTTTTCACATGGTTCAAACTAAAACGTTAGTTGTAAATTACTGCGACATAAAAGAAGGAGGTCTTCTTTCGTCAAATAGATCTATAACAATTATCAACGCAAACCGAACATTGCAAGAAAGGTTTTAACAAAAAGCGTGTTGGTCTTAAAAAGGTAGAAATACACTTTGCTCAGATTTTTAGCGTTCAGACTGACTACATGGTGTGTTGAAATCGATCATCGAAATAACAGCAAAGATGGAGCCAGTCAACAGAAAAGGAAAATGAGAACCACGGAGATCACCATCAGTCGACTCTTCTTTAGGTAAAGGTTGAAGTAGCAAAACATACAACAAAGAACCATGATAAAGGAAACTATGGAGAAGAGGTTGAAGAATTGAACCAAGAATTTCGTAGAATCCGTTGGTGCACAGTCGCCAAAGTAAAACTTCGCAATTGTTGCCTGGGGGAAAGCTTCGACCCACATTTTGGCCAAACTCATCGACATGTTGATGGCATGATGGAACTCGTCTTTGCTATCGTCGTCATTGCTGGAGAGTTTCCATTTTTGAAGGTAGTAATAAACGCGGACGACTGTCATGAGCAATCCAAGGCTAAAGAGTACCATAAGAGCGATAAAAACATTCTCCTCAGGATTGTCGGTGATCTCCCCGTCCTTATAGCGTTTAGCAACGAAAAGGTCCACAAGCCTGTCAGCTATTTCGTAGGCCACTAAGACGAGGTAGAAAGACTGACTCGCATTTCCAAAGTCATGACAAGATATGAAAACTGAACTCGACTACGCTGCTATTTATTTCCTCGTTAGCACCTTTTTAACTTCATACGTCATAATTGGTCACGTGGTCCGAATATGGGTAAACAAAAAAATGTGCCATGAACATTTCGAATATGAAGATTTTAAGTTTATAAACAGCCGAACTATGAGATTGAAAGATGGTGCGTGTCCTTCGTTGTTTTTATGGTCAACAAGAAGCTATTTCAAAAAGAAATAGTATTTCGTTCCTGGCATGATAATGTTAGGCATGGTTGTCACAGTTCTGGAAACTTCAGAGAAAAACGACTTACCTCAAGGCCTGGGAAAAGTCAGTTGGAATTTTCAGTCTGATTCAGGAAAAATTTACATCTTTGAAAGAAGTTTTGGAAAAGTGATTTTCAAGTAAAGGTGAAGTTGTTCATCCTGTCTAACCGAGCCCGTTAAACATGAGATTAATAAATTGTCTCGACGACCCTGTCAGCTATTTCGACAATTATGAAAAATTACCTTCTATCAATTAACAATTATTCGACGAGGTTGAGCATGATGAAGATAATTATCTAGGCCAAAGTTTGTGTCTTCTGCCGAAACCAAAGGCTGAGGTGGACAACACAAACTGAAGCCTTGCTAATTATTGCTATCATACGAAAACCGAATCCAATAATTGTTTCATTATGCACATTCCTGAGCTGCACTTGCAAAGACAACAACGCATAAAACTATTGTCTGTAG